GGATTGGCTATGTCTATGTCTGCTCTAAATCCTCTTCTCCTACATATTCTTTGTACACAGGCAGAAAAGCTGCTCATTTTCCCAGCCTTCCTTGCAGTAGGGGTGGGTGTCCAAGTGATTTAATGGTTGCCTGTGAGGCACAGACTAGTTTCTGGGAGACTTCTTTTTTCTGATGAGAGGGTGAATGTTGCTGTTACCAGATTTCTCCTTTTCTCTCTCCTTCCCTGATCTTGGACATGGAAGCCACCTTGGGACCATGAGGGAATGGCCAGGAGACCTTTACAGAGGGTGGCAAGTACACACTGACAGGTGACTCTGGGTGGGGAACCACAAATTCTCCTTCTTTAGCACTTACTGCCTCAGTGAAGTGTCCTGTTTGGAGTTGGTAAGGAATGAGGAGGAAAAAAAGAAATCATGGCCATTAATTGGTTGCTTGTTTGTGGCTCCTTCTGTCTGTACCACCAAAGCCCAGAGTGATTACTTTCAGGCTGAGAAAGAGAACTACCATGTTGAGCTTTGGATGGCATCTTGGGCTAAGGCTGACAGAATGAGAGCTGGATCAGACTGAAGCTCCACAACCTACCCATGAGGAGGAGTCTGCCTGCCTCCCACTCAAGTAGATGGCCTGCCCTGGAGGTGAGATGTGCAGAGCAAACAGCTGTACTTTTCAAAAGGAAACCTGAGGCAGGGCACAGTGGCTCATGCCTATAATCCCAGAACTTTGGGAGGCCTACGCTGGCAGATTACCTAAGGTTAGGAGTTCAAGACCAGCCTGGCCAACATGGTAAAACCTCATGTCTACTAAAAATACAAAAATTAGTTGGGTGTGGTGACACACACCTGTAATCTCAGCTACTCAGGAGGCTGAGGCAGGAGAATTGCTTGAGCCCGGAGACAGAGGTTGCAGTGGGCCAAGATTGTGCCATTGCACTACAGCCTGGCCAAAAAAGCAAGACTCTATCTCAAAAAAGAAAAAGATAAGAAAACTATAGTCAGCTACCAATCTGGGTCCTTCACTTATAACTTACAACCTGATAACCAAAGATTTCCAGATAGGGTAAAATGTTCTAAAGTAAACACCACGATGAACAAATCAAAGATTGAACCCAGAAAAGGCAGATAATTCAGGGAACAAGCTATTTTAGAAAATGTTAGCATCTGCAGCTAATATCTGAGAAGATATCACAAGTCTTTCCTTCCATTAACAGACCACGCAATTCAGAACAACCTTCCTCACTGACAACAAATAAAGAAGACGAACAAATAGAAGCAAACTTCTGAGAGCTAATGTGTTAATGACAAATGACTGAACCATGGTGTGGAGAAGACAGAAATCCAAAGAGGGATACTTTGCTTTGGAAATATTTACCCCTAAGGAAGAGGCTAAGCAGAACTTCTAACAAATCTGAGGGCCTGGGTCGGCGGCAGTGGCTTACACCCATCATTCCAGCACTTTGGGAGGTTGAGGCAGGTGGATCACTTGCGGTCAGGAGTTTGAGACCAGCCTGGCCAAAATGGCAAAACCTTGCCTCTACTAAAAACACAAAAATTAGGTGGGTGTAGTGGCGCATGCCTATGATCCCAGCTACTTGGGAGGCTGAGGCAGGAGAATCGCTTGAACCTGAGAGGTGGAGGTTACAGTGAGCTGAGATTGTGCCACTGTACTCCAGCCTAGGTGACAGAGCAAAACTCTGTCACAAAAAAAAAAAAAAAAAAAAAAAAAACAAAAAACTTGAAGACCTAAGGGGACCAAAGCGGGGGCTAGGGCCCTGGCTAACTTACCCCTCCTTTGTCCTAGTATTCCAAAGGTATGCAAGTATAAAGTGGAAGTAAACCAGTCTCTATACCAGCTAGCACCCAGCTTTGAGTTCCAGGCAGCCTAGAAAACCTCAGTCCCTGAACTGGATCATGGTGTCCCTATAGTGCTACTGCCAAGAAGCTGGCAGAAGCAACTGGAAGTGTTCTGCAGAAGAAGATAACATCATCTTAGGCCTCAAACTATTTGTACAATAAATTTTTCAAATATTATGTCTACCACACAGTAAAAAATAAGCAGGTACATAAGGAGATAAGACAATATGAATGAGAAACAGCAGAAATATTTATAGCCAATGGATAGATCTGCAAAGGCTCCCAATACTAGAATTATCAGACATAAAACTTTAAAATAAGCTTACTATGCTAAAATAGATAAAAGACTGAATTAAAAATCCAGCAGAGAACCGAAAACATAAAAAATGATGCAGCTGATTTTTTTTTTTTTTTTTTTTTTTTGCGATGGAGTTTCACTCTTGTCACCCAGGCTGGAGTACAATGGAGTAATCTCAGCTCTGCCTCCTGGGTTCAAATGATTCTCCTGCCTTAGGCTGCCGGGTAGCTAGAATTATAGGTGCATGTCACCATGCCCAGCTAATTTTTGTATTTTTTTAGTAGAGTCAGGGTTTCACCAAGTTGGTGGGGTTTGTCTCGAACTCCTGACCTCAGGTGATCCGCCTGCTTTGGCCTCCCAAAGTGCTGGCATTATAGGTATGAGCCACCATTCCTAGCCTGATACAGCTGATTTTATTTTTTTTAATTTTTTCTTTCCTTGAGACGGAGTCTCACTCTGTTTCCCAGGCTGGAGTGCAGTGGTGTGATCTTGGCTCACTGCAGCCTCTGCCTCCCGGGTTCAAGTGATTCTCCTGCCTCAGCCTCCCCAGTAGCTGGGATTATAGGCGTGCACCAACGTGGCTGGCTAATTTTTATATTTTTAGTGCAGACGGGATTTCAGCATGTTGGCCAGGCTAGTCTTGAAGTCCTGACCTCAGGTGATCCACCTGCCTTGGTCTCCCAAAGTGCTGGGATTACAGGCATGAGCCACTGCACCCAGTGATACAGCTGATTTTAAAAAGGAAGGATATTACATCTCTGAGATGATGGGGAAAATGAAAGGGAAGAAATAATTGAAAAAGAAAATCACTGGTTTCTTTCTCTCTTTCCACAGAATGAATGAGCTTTCTGAATCTTTAAAACACCGAGCTAGAATCCCAAAGTACTTACAAAGCAATGGAAATTAGATTTCTGATAGATTTTTTTTTTTTAGCAATAACACTAGCTGCAAAGTCTATGGAACAATGCCTCAGCGACCTAAGGGGATTTGACTTTGAATCTAGGATTCTATTACCCAAGTCAATTAAGGAATACCAACAGTCACATTTAAAAATGGAATAAAAAATTAGGCCTCTGTACACACCAAGGCCTCTGAGGGCTGACCCTCCAGCCTTTTTGATGTCAGCTCCTTTCGCCCTTCCATTACCATTCCATTGGGCTGTTCCTTTTAAACTCCAAGCTCTCCTACCTCGGCCTTTTTACTTTCCCTCTGCCTGGGTGTTCTCCAAAGTATATGGATGGCTTCATCCCCCACCTTTTCTGGTCTCTGCTTTTCTGTTAGTTTGGCCTTTCTTAATTGCTTAACATCAAATAGCATCCTGCCAGTATTCTGTAACCCCCTGTCCCCCATTTTTTTTTTTTTTTTTTTTTTTAGACAGAGTCTCGCTCTGTTGCCCAGGCTGGAATGCAGTGTGCGATCTTGGCTCACTGCAACATCCGCCTCCTGGGTTCTTGCAATTCTCCTGCAAGTAGCTGGGACTACAGGCGTATACCACCACACCCAGCTAATTTTCTGTATTTTAGTAGAGATGGGGTTTCACCATGTTGCCCAGACTGGTCTTGAACTCCTGAGCTCAGGCAATCCGCCCACCTCAGCCTCCCAAAGTGCTGGAATTATAGGCGTGAGCCACTGCACCCAGCCCCCTGCCCTTTTAATTTTTTTTTCCTTTTTAGTCTGAATCTAGTCTGAAAGTATCTTGTTGACTGAACTGCCTCCTTGCTTATGTGTGCATCCCTACAGAATCAGTTCCATCACCACTCAAGACACTACAGATACTGCATCTCATGTGTCTGTCTCTCTCCATAAGAAAGCAGATCCACGAATGTAGAGACTCGGTCTGCATTATTCATTGCTGCCTGCCCCATGCCTATAACACGCCTAGCCAGGGGAGGCTCCCCATCAGTAACTGCTCAATGATTGAATGAAGCTGTGAGCTAACTCTTAGATCCATATCTTCTCCCATCCCCCACCAACATGTTCCTTTCTTGATTTAATCAATGGTTCCAGCGTCCATTTTTTTTGCAGCTGAAAACAACTGGTGGTATCACATGTTCATTATGCTCCTTCCTTCCACATCCAACCACCCATCAAATCTTATTGCTTCTGCCTCCAAAATACATCTTGAATCTGTCTCCTTTCCCCTCTCCATGGCCACCACACTGATCCAAGCCACCTTCATCTCTTCCTGGGACTGTTACAGAAGGCACTCCCTGACTGTTTATTTTAGTTAGTGACACCTCTACACTAACTCTGCTAAGAAGAAAATGCAGCTCCTTGCAAGGCTCTGTGGTCCACCTCTTGCCTCATCTCACACCACCCTCTTCTTTTGCCTTCTATATGCCAGTCACAGTGGCTTCAGACAGATCAAGCACTCTGCTTTTACTCTCACCTCTACTAGGAAACGCTTTCCCCAGGTCTCTGTATGGCCATCTCACTATTATCCTTGGGTTTCATCTGCAGTATCCTCTTATGAGGCCTTCCCTGGTCACTCCTTCCCAGGCGCTCTCATCTGAAGATGCTGCTTACTACTTCCTTCTTACTCTGAATCTAGTCTGAAAGTATCCTGCTGATCAAACTGCCTCCTTGCTTATGTGTGCATTCCTACAGACTGAGCTCCATGAAGACAGGGAAGTACTTTCCATCTTCACAACCAAACCCAGAGCCCTGCAGGCAGCCTCCCTCAGCACAGGCATGTGGTGGAGCACTCCATGGCTCCTGATGCTGGGACCTGAGGCTGGGGGCTAGAGAAGTCTAATGGGACAGAATTCAAAGCACTTTGGCTTATTTAAAAAATCTCCACCTTCACGTTTCAAGAAAGAGTTCTTGCAGCAACAATGAAAGAAGCACCTACCACTACTGTTGACTCCCACTGGCTTCCAGTGGAGTAGTGAACCGGACCCAGTAAGTCCTTGCATATTTCTCGAAGTCGGTATTCAAACCCTAATTATAGAAAAACAAAAAAAACAAAACAAAACAAAAAAAAAACAAAACAAAACAGAAATAGGAACACATTACAAAAAGAAATAAAAATCAAGAATATGCTATGTTGTCGTGTCTATCAAATCAGAATAAATACATGTGTATTTTATTGCCTACTATGGGCAGAACACTCCTGCCTGTCTCTCAGTATGGGCCACTGAGATCCATAATCACAGATTTTCACTCACTTGCTCACTCCCCTGACAACATCTGTAGTACCTCCACTGTGTACTGGGCCCAGAGGAAAAATGAGACGTGGTCAGTTCTGTGATAAACTCCTTAAGGTGATGGGAAAATATGGGAAATTGTGGGCTGGTGATATCTCTTTGAGAAGATTGGGTGGCGGCTGGTGTTGAGAGGAGGTCGGAAGGGTGGGGAGGCCAGCCCGCAGGAGGTAGAGATGGCAAAGGCACGACTGAAGAGGGCAACTGAGTGGAGAGGGTATAGGCTCATCAACTCAAGTGTTATGGGCACCACTCAGTAGGGCTGTCAGAAAGACTGGAGGCAGAGTGTGGGGGACTCTCAGCACTTGGGGCAGCTAAAGCAATAGGGAATGGATTCAATTATCCAAAGAAAAGGGTGGAGAATAAGAGAGATGAAGCTGGAATCTGAGGAATTTTGGAAGTGAATGGGGTCCACTTTTACACTGGATTCCTCCTTTTATAGCCAAGGAAACAAGGGACAGAAAGGAGGGTAGGTGACTGGTGTATGGACACTGGAACAGTCGTGTGGAAGACAGAGAAAGAGAAGCAAGTAGCAGAAGTGATCCCAAGATGGGTGGCAGGGTCAAGAGGGGGTGGGGACTTGAGGCAGGGCATCAGGACAAGTCCCAGTCAACACCCAGGATGAAGCAAACTAGAGTGGAGTGAGAGGAGGGGCTCCCAGGGAAGATGTGACTACAGCACCACAGGAGAGGTATGAGGGCCTGGGAAGGCTGAGTATTCAGAAAAGCCAGGACCACATATAATGAATGGCAACCACATAGACCTACTGGAAAAGGGTAAACATCAAATTCATCATTGCAGCTTGCAGGGAGGGAAGCGAGGCTTCAAGCTGATCAGTAATATTTGCTGTCATTTATAAGTGTACACACAGGCACACTCATATTTACATAGACAGAGGCACATGTGACATGTTAGTAGTTCTGGGAATTATATTTGTGAGGGTTTGATATGATTTTCTCTGTCGTTTCTGTACTTAAATGTTTTCTAAGTTATAATCAAAATGGGGAGGGTGATGACAAAAATAAAGCAAAAAGGCCAGGAAGCTGTATAGGGAGAGCTCTGGGAGGGCCTGCCCCATGCTGTACCCTGGAGGCTGCAGTCAAGTGGGAGGAAAAGCTGGTAAGGCTACTGGAGTCACTGTGAGGACAGTGCAGCCACCTCTTCCAGCACACCTGACTTGCTGCAGGGGAGGCTGCAGGGGGGTGAGAGCTCTGGCGGGGAATGCCAGGAACAGAAGGCCTCACGAAGTCCAGGACAGCAGGCAAGCCTGTCCAAGGCAGGAGAGGCTAGGAGGAGGAAGACAGAGGAAGAGAAACACTGCCACAAGATGCCCTCATAGATTAGCAGCACTGCCACAGTGTGGTGCAGGGCAAGAGCCAGAACGTAGAATCTGCTCCTTCAGGCCATGTCTCTCCACTCAGGCATCTATCCCTCCCTCCTGCTGCCTGTCCTGCTGCTCCTCTGTGGGAACACCCTCAGGGCCACTCTATCCAGAGCCTCAGAGCTTATAAGGGGCTGGGTGCCTGCTGAGCTGCCTTGATTGAAGCTCAGGCTGGGAGGTAGAGGCTGCGGGGTCCACCTTGTTGATGTGAGAGCAGTTGGCTGGGATCTGGGCCATCACACCTTTTCCCTGATTTCACAGGGACTGAGCCAGGCCTGGGAAGATGAAGGGGCAGAAGAAGGTTGCTCAGGGCCGTTAGGATCCTCACCTTCATTTACAAGGTACCGTGCGTAGAGGAGGAGCCAATGGCGGTACTCGTGGCTGGACTGCAGGGTGAGTGCTGCTGCCACCTGGTTCTCTAGGTAGGCCAGGGTGGTTTCTTGCTGCACCACATGAGGCACGGAGAAGAGCCGGGCAGCCTGCCTTCCCGAGCTGCAGAGACCAGGAGAGTTTCCATGATGAGGCAGCAGGCACTATACAGAGTCAGGAACTGCCCCCATGTGCCTCAGGCAAGGAGCTGGCAGGGGAGGCAGGCACTGGGGCTGTCAAGGCCTCCCGTCCACCAGCCAGTCTGTCGGCAGAAGTCAGAATCCTTGTTGTCTGCCCATCCCCACATCCCAGCCATGAGCCTCCTGGCACCATAGGGGTTATCTCAACAGCACCTGCCATCTGGGCCCCTGAAGTGATAGGGCCAGTGACTACTACCCCCAACCCCAAGAAATTACCTGACGCAGGCCCACTACTCTCAGCACCCCTAGTCTGTCCTGCCCAGTGTCCCTATGCTGACCAGCACCTGGGGCACAGGGGAGGGACAGGTAAAGACCAGGCCTGGGTGGGACTGTGCATGCACTGACCCAGTCACTTCCCCAGGACAGGACTAAGAACACTGGCCATGGCATTCAGGTCACGTACTTGGAGGTGCGGCCCTGGATTATGGCTAATGGTCCTGAGCACAGCATGGCGTCCTGGGATGGCAGGCTGCTCCTAAAGTCCGCACACTGAGCCAGTGAGTCCTGCTTGTCAGAAACCAGGTTCCTGGGGAGGCAAAGGCAGGAACAGAGCTCAGGATAACCAAGAGATCTACCAGAGGAGGCTAGCAAGGAGGCCACAGAGAAGCAGCCCCTGCTGACACACAGGCAGGAAAGCCGGCAGAGGCTGAGCACCCCTGCACTTTGGCACAGGTGCCTATCACTGACAGGTTTCATGATAATGGGCCTGACAGATCATTGTTCCAAAGAAACAATGAATGAAGCAAAGTCTGTGGATAGGGCCCTTGCTGTGAACATTTCAGCTCCATATGTTGGTTCATGATGACTGCAGGCCTCTATGTGCTGTGAGCTCTGATGCTTAGCTCAAACACAGCTATGATCTGCCCAGGGCCCACGTGGCCTGGGCCCTGTAGCTGGCAAGCAATGCTAGGCCTCTACCTTCTTGTACTTCTACAACTACCCCAGACTGACAGCCCTTCCACTTTCTTGGGACCCTTCTCATCCTTGTGAAGAAAACACTCTTCACACACTTTTAGAACAGCTAGGTGTCTTTGTAAATGTGTCCAAATACAAAGATGCCTCTAGTCAATATTTCTCTTCTTAAATAGTCAGCTTATTTTGATTATTACAGCAATCAGATATAATAGACAACATTTTGCAATTTGGGGAAGCAGGCGGTGGAGATTTTTTTCTTTTGAGACAGGGTCGCACTCTGTTGCCCAGGCTGGAATGCAGTGGTACGATCACGGCTCACTGCAGCCTTGACCTCCTGGGCTTCAGTTTCCTAAGGAGGTGGGACTTCAGGTGTGTGCCACTGCACCTGGCTTATCTAAAAAAAATTTTTTTTTGTAGAGACAGTCTTACTATGTTGCCCATGCTGGTTTCAAACTCCTGGGATAAAGCAGTCCTCTCAGCTTCGCACAGTGCTGGGATTATAAGTGTGAGTCATTGTATCCAGCAGATTTTTTTTTCCCAAAGTCAAGAAACAAGTCTCTCTGTGAATATAAACTTCTGCGTGGCAGTTCTTAACAGAAAAGGGGCTAGGAGGTAGCAAGCTTTGGTTCTTAAGGACCAAAGGTAGAGACAGAACAAAAGAACTTGGAGCGGCTAGAACACAACATACATATTTCATGTGGCTGGGTTAAGAGCTCTGTTGTGTAAATTATTTTGCAAGTACAGAAAAGAGCTTCAAATTCCACAGTGGACAGAGGAAAGGTACAGACCATCATGCCTGGATAAATGGATGAGCATCTTACAAATTCACTGAGGAAGTCTGAAGTGCTCACTAAACTCACAAAAATTTACTAGTGCTGGTAAGGCTCCTGTACATCTGACTCACCTATGCTCATCGTGGCTAAGGGGGCCACAGCAAGAACCATACAAATTTTTGTCCTTTTTCAAAAAGTGACTCCTGAAAATAATACAAGAGGACAGTGCTCCTGCACATACATTCTAAGGGAGAGGTCACAGGCTGCAGTGTCCTGCTAGGACAGGGGAGCATGCATGGATAGTCACTGCAGCCTATACTCCAGGACCTGACTCTCAGGAAAAGCAGGGTTAGGCAGCCCTGTAGGCCATGACCCTTTGCTCTGCTGTCCAAAGCAGACAGACACTCTTCTAGGGAATAGGGCTCGGGGTCAGCTTGCTTACCATGTAGAAAGTGACGGATTAAAGCAGTACGCCTTCCCATCGGACAAGTTCATTACTGGGATTCCATGCTGCGTCAGCAAGATCTGTGATACCGTCATATCACTTCCTGGGGGGACAGCACAGGAATGCGTTCTAGGTGTGTTCTGATCAGCAAGTGTTTGCAAACACACCAAAGGAGAAATCCGAACTCTAGCTCCCACAGTCTTAGCAGCAAATATGTTAACACTGCCTTGGCAAATAGGGAGGGCAAGCCATTCTCACTGCCACACACCAGGCTCTTGTTACCTTTTGGGGACCCATTCAAACATGCCCCCAGAAACTGTGTGTCTCCTGAAGCACAACCGCACCTCCTGCCTCACTGAGGGCCTTGGGCTAAGGCCAGAGCCTGGCTCTCTGAGTGGGGCCCTTCTGCAGCATCAGACAGGAACTTGGGCCCCCAGGAGAGTAGGGGCAGCCTGCTGCCTGGATTACCTGCCAAGATGGAGTGTAGAGACTCTTCTTTCACCACAACCACCTGTCTATGAACATCCCTAGGAGGGAGACAGGGAACAGTTTACTCACCAACCTAGGTAAACACATCAGACTGTGCCTCAGTCACTCAGACACCCTGGTCCCTACTGCATGCGCCTCTAACCTGGCCTCTCCTAGTGAGAGGGCTCTGGGCTATAAGTAGCTTCTGTACCCCATGCGCCCCTACACTCCCTGTGTCTAAGGTTGCAGCACAGAGCCCAGGCAACAGAGCCATGGGGAACCCTCAGCACCCACACCACTTTGGAGGAAGCCAGGCCACAGCAGCCACATCAGGAACATGGCCACAATCTGCCAGCTACGACTCCATTTCTGATGAACCCCGCCTAGGACCCTGACAGTGCAACCGGTTGCATGGGCCACTTCAGCTGCCTCTATTCCCCTTGCACACCATCCCTCAGCCCTTAGCCTACCCAAGTCACCCAACACAAGCACTATCACTGACTGCTCAGGGCCTCCTCTGGGGCCTGATGGCCAGCCTTCTCCATTGCCTTCCCTGCCCCTGCAGTGAGGTAGGGCCTGCACAGCCCTCTCCTGCCCTGCCTGGAGCCCACCCCACCCTGTGCCTGCCTCTCACCAGACGGACAGTGTGGCTGCAGCAGTGAGTGCCATGACGTAGGAGCCTGTGCAATGCAAAGTAGAGATCGGGGACGGCAGGAGGATAGGAGAGAGGAGACGGCGACCACAGGTGGAGAACACTGACAGCATCCTTTTTTCACAGGCGACACACACCACGTCACTGGGAAGGCAGAGGTGGGGGAAGGTGTTATGGGGGTTGGGCGCTGCAGCCAAGACAGCAGCCCTGGAAGGTACAGAGCCTTTCCTCTGCCTGGGCCCATAAGGCCCTCCCCTGAGCAGGTACAGCCAGAGCGGGAGGTGGATTGCGCCAGGGTGGGGCTGGTGGGGCTTTTGGAGCCTCCCTGAGATCTTGGATAAAAAAAAGACTTCTGTCCTCTTGCCCACAGGCTGCCTGGGCTTTCCTGAGCTCACGCTGATGCTGACCAGGAGGTGTGGGGGCTTTGGAGAGCCAATGCACCTGATCATCACCCAGGAAGCATGTCTTGCTCATTGGATAAAGCCACATAATACCCACAGGACAGTCTCCTGGCTACAACTAGTCAAACCAGTTCTGAGAAGGTCTCTATCAAGGCAGCCTGGGAAAAGTGTGGGGATGATGGCATGCACCTCTGTGTCCAGGAGGCTGGCTGGCTGGCGTGGGAGATATATGTCGCTCCCAAACAAGGACTGCCTTACAGAATAGTCTGGACACTGTCCAGTTTCTGTCCTGAGTGACCACCGGGCCCAGGGTGGGCCCTGCACAAGCAGGCTGTTGCCTTTCCAGAGAGAGCCCCATAATGCCCAGCCACAGGCCCAGGGTGAGGCCAGAGCTCAGACCCCAGGCAGTGGTAGCAGATGTGCAGCCAGTACAGTGAGATCCTGGCCACAGCAGGCCACTCAGAGCCCTGCTTTGTGTCACTTCTATCCTGCTGAGCCAGTGACCCCAGCAGGCTCAAGGAGGTCAGCTAAGGAAGTAGCTCCGCCAACTGCTTTCCTAATGAGACACTGTTGCTACTGGCTCCAAACACAGAAAGGCAAGTGAGATGCTTTTGTTTACAAATGTTTACTTGGAGAATATGAATCAGAGAACACTCTACGCAGCATGGGCAGCAGGGAGCTCTCTGTAGGCTGTGACTGAATCCTTTTTTGTATGTATGAGACAGAGTTCTTGCTCTGTCACCCAGGCTGGAGTGTGGTGGCACAATCTCGGCTAACTGCAACCTCTGCCTCCCCAGTTCAAGCGATTTCCTGCTTCATCCTCTCGAGTACCTGGGATTACAGGCACATGCCACCATGCCTAACTTTTTTATTTTTGGTAGAGATGGGGTTTCACTATGTTGACCCTGCTGATACTGTGACTGAATTCTATCTGCTCATCTCTGGTGGTCAGAGCCTGCCTCAAGCCAGCCCACTGCAAAGAAAGCCATCATTTTTGGGCTGCAGCACTGGGGAGCAGGTCTGCAGGCTGGGCCTGGACTCAGCAGGACTGAGCAGGAGGGGAGGTCTCAGGTGGCCCAGTAGGCTTGCCCCACAGCTGCTGTGTCACTGTGGGAAAGGCTGTGCTGACACCCCTTGCTCAGTTGGGCAAGCCACCTGCCTTGGGGCAAGGGACAGAGAGTAAGAGCCCACGGCAGCATCTGACACATGGGTGCCTGGGATTGGGAGTTTAGCTGGCTCATCCCGAGGGGGGATTCAAGGGAGGAACAGAACAAACAGTAGGGTTCCCTAGGCCTAACAACACAAAACTCACTCAGGGCTCACAAGAATTGTGGTCTAAGACCTAAGGCCATGTGCTTTGACACAAGTAAAAGTATCTACAAGGGACCTCATGGCAGATGATTAAGGGTATAATTACGATGACTGTACCTAAGTGGTCACGTCTGTAAACCCCTGCTGAATGTCTCCCATGTAGTCCTGACTGGGACGCTATGCCAGGCAGGAACCTGAGGAGAAACACTGGTTCCCCTTCCACATTGAACACAGGGAGAGGGCTCAGGTACAGTTCCAGGAGACCAGGGGAAGACACTGGGTGACCAATCACTGAATCAAGGTCCACCCCACAGTGCAGAATCTGGAAAGGGCTGGGATGGGGACTTCAGAGACAGTCAGAAACCCATCCTGACCAATTTGGATGGAAATCTGGGATCCAGAAAAGGAACAAGCCCAAGTCAAAGTGAGCCAGGCACACCTCAGTGTGGAACTCGAGACTTTGGGGATCTGGCTGGACAAGGAAATCAGACCATCAGGTTCAAAGCCTGGCTTGGGTAACCCTCAAGGGCTCAGTTTCCCCATCTGTAACATGGGGATACTGATGCTGACCTTGCTGGGTGCTGCAGGGACTGAGATGACAAGCGCATATGCCTGGCCTGGAATGAAGCCTGATGTGAACCCCTGTGGGAGCTGGAGCTCCCAGGGCCATGCACCTCCCCTAAACAGGCCCAGGACCAGAATGATGGCATGTGTGCCTGTGTCACCTGGGCCGGCTGAGGACCTGTCCACCCTTACCAGCTGCCTGCAGCAGTGAGGATCCGGCTGGTGAGCACCGTCTCCCACTCCTTCCCTTCCCGGTTGCACTTCAGGCGGCTCAGCTTCACGCCCCCCACCACTGTCACTTCATTCTCCACCTCAATGTACATGGAGGGATCGGAGCTGACCTGGATGAAGTAAACACACGGGCCTGCTCAGACAAGGGCTGCAGCCCAGGTGACATGCTCCAAGGTTCTGTAGCCCAGGGCCCCAAGGCAGCAGCATGACACAGAGGCAGACTGACTGGCCAACAGAGGAGGGAAAGGGCAGGCAGGGCAAAAGGGCTGAGTGGGAGGCCCAGAGGGCCAGACATGCGGCCCCCAGGGCAAGGAGAATGCTGGGAACTGGTTTCTACTCTGTCATCCGTGTAGTTGAACAGCCGGAGAAGAGAAGCAGTGCCAGGGCTAAAGACCCCAAAGTCTCCAACCCCGCCACCTCATCTCACAAGGGAGTGACGTGCCCAAAAGCACACTGCAAAGGATCAAGCTGGGAGTGAGACTTGAGATTCTAGCCTCCTACTTGAAGGAGCTTCAAAGATGGCAGTGTTTGGCAAGAATAGAGCCCATGTCAGTGCTTGGAGGGAACATCTAGAAAACCCCAAAGAGGGTCTCCAGTTCCTGTGGCAGTGAGACTTGGTCTGTTCAACTGAGACTAAACTGGCAGAAGTGTTTCCGGCACAGCATGTATAAGAAGCAACTAGTTTGGTGTCTGGCACCAGATGGGCTCAGCCGCATGCGTGTCTAACCAATAGATTTTTCCCTTTGGAAAAATAGGCAGGACCACCAAACAGTCTGTGCTCATGTGGCCACACAAGTGGGTGAGTTGGGCCAAGGGCCAACTGCCATGTCCCAAGCAGCGCTTGGCAGGAAAGAGGCCTAGGGGAAGGGCTAGAAGAGTTTGGGAGAGTTCTGTGCTGAGAAGCAGGGCACCCAGGGGGGAACCTACGTCAGAACACCTGTGAGTGCAAGAGCACATCCAAGTGCTGCTGACCACTGGAGGCACCCCTGCCTCCCCTCACACCAGCAATAAGAACAAAACCTGTGGGTCCCTACCCTTCGGCTTCCCTGCTTCATTCCTCAGTACTGTGGCCCAGAAGGACCTATGGTGGGAAGGGCTGACGCCGACTCTCTGGTGCCCTGTGAGGACCAGCTGGGGCTCAGAGTACTGTGCAGCCAGTGGGAAGTGACCTGCACACAGGGTCCAAGAAGGTTGCTCGAAGACGTGCACCTGAGCTGAGGTACAAAGGGTATGCAGAAAAGCAGTAGTGTGTGTGACGGTACCACAGCGGGAGAGGCCTAGATACTGTGCTGGGCCAAATGACCAGAGGGCTCTGGGTATAAAGGATTATTTGCTCCAGAATTGTGTTTTGGATAACCACATGCTTACAAGCTTCCATTCCAAGAACCCAAACAACTCTGAGGACAACTGTGCTGGACACTGAGAAGGAGATAAAGCTAGCAGGATGGTTGGGAGATAGATCATGACCACAGAGTCCCACTGATACCAAGCCCGAGGCTGCTGAGGGCTGTGTGTGGAGACGGAGGTGGCTTCCAGCAGGGACACCTGAGAGGAGTCCTGAAGAGCACCAGAACATGTGGTGGTAATGGCAGCCCAAGCAGCTGGGACCCTAAGTGCAAAACCAGACAGAGGCTATGGATGGGTGAGAGTGGAGGCTGGCAATTTTGCTTAGAGTTGGTGGGTGCCCCAACCAGCTGTGACTTCCCCCAGAAGGTGACAGAGAGCCACTGGAAACCAATCTCCAAGGATGTGACAAGAGAGGGTTTATATGGGATAGGCGACGGAGAATCTCTGGGTGTGCCTGAGGGAGAACTGGCAGGGTCCCAGCACTTACCTGGAGGGTGAATGCTCTCTGGGGGCCTGGAATTGGCAGCTTCAGTGCAAGTGCTGGTGCAGACAGACACATGGCCTCCTTTTCTGCAGTTAGGGTAGCTGGAGACTGGAAGAGCCAGAAAAGTTCCTGAGCCTTGCTCTAATACTACAGGGTAAAGGCAGGTCACCCAGAAGTGAGGCTGGGCCTGTGGCCAGGACATTTCCATCTTTGGAGGGAGGAAGCAGAGGGGAATGCTACAACAATCCTCACCTTACAGACAGGCCAGTTGATGTCAGGGAACCTGCTCAAGGGTTCTGGGTGGGTCAAGGGCAGGTCTGAAGGGGAATGTGGTCAGGGGCTGCATGTCTAAGCCAGCTGGCTCTCAAGGTGCCCCACCCAGCTGAGGCTCACCATGCACCCAGGGCCTTCAAGCTCTAATTGCAGAAAGGTAGGCTAAAGAAGGCAGGATGGGCCCACTGGCCTCACCTGGACAGACAGAGACACGGGCATGAGACGAGAGTCCTTCCGAGGCCGCCCTTTCTTCTTCTTCTCTACCGTTTCTACCTCAAGCTCAAGTTTTCGCTTGGACAATGAGGAAGGCTTAGTCAAAGGGACCTTATCATCACTGTCACTGCTGCTCTCCAGGAGGTCTCGCGGCCTTAGCTCTTTCACAAGGTTCTGCTCTTTTAACCTGCACAAAAACATTATATCACACTTCCCTTCAGAAATCATTCATGCAAGAAAGAGTGAAGTGAAATTAAAGTGTTTAAACAAACCTCCTGCCAACCTAGAATTCTGCATCCAGTGAAATTATGGCTCAAAAGTGAAGGAGAAATAATGACTTTCTCAGACAAAAATAAACAAAGAGACACCGGAATCTGTTACCAGAAGACCTGCCTTGCAAGAAATGTTAAAAGTCTTTCAGACAGAAGATAAATGATGCAGGCCAGAAACTCACATCTGCAAGAAAGGAAGGCTGTTAGAGAGAAAAAAGTGAACATAAAATAGAATCTTTTATGTTTCCTATTCCCAACTGATCTGAGAGACAACTTTCTGTTCAAGCAAATAATAGCCACCATGTCTTGAATGATTATAGATTATGAATGAGTGAAATAAGTGGTATCAATGTCATAGGGCACAGAGGAAGAGTGGGGAACTCTCTCTACTACCCACGAAGTGATATAATATTATTTGAAAGTAGACTTAGGTTATAAATCTTCATTGTAAACTCTGGAGCAATCACTAAAACATTTTTTAAAAGCATAATTAATAATGCTGAGAGGATAGAACATCTATTTTTATTTTATTGTTATTTGTTATTGGAGATGGATTTTCACTTGTCACCCAGGCTGGAGTGCAACTGCATAATCTCGGCTTCCTGCAACATCCACTTCTTGCCTCAGCCTCCCAAGGACCTGGGATTACAGGTGCCCATCAAAATGCCCAGCTAATTTTTGTATTTTTAGTAGAGACAGGATTTCACTATGTTGGCCAGGCTGGTCTCAAACTCCTGACCTCAGGTGATCCACTCACCTCAGCCTCCCAAGTGCTGGGATTATAGGCATAACCACTATGCCCAGCTGAGAAAATTTAATCATATAAAATACTCAAAACCAGAGAAGGCAAAAAAAGAAGATAAAAAGATTTTTTTTTAAAAAAAGAATAAGGCCGGGTGTGGTAGCTCACGCCTGAAATCCCAGCACTTTGGGAGGCTGAGGCAGGTGGATCACCTGAGGTCTGGAGTTCAAAACCAGCCTGGTGAACACGGTAAAACCCCATCTCTACTAAAAATACAAAAATTAACTGGATATGGTGGCAGGTGCCTTTAATCCCAGCTGCTTGAGGAGGCTGAGGCAGGAAAATCACTTGAACCCAGGAGGTAGAGGTTGCATTGAGCCGAGATGGTGCCACTGCACTCCAGCCTGGGCCACAGAGTGAGAATCTGTCTCAGAAAGAAAAAAAAAAAGAATAAGTGCTAAAATATGGCAGATATTAATATAACTACATCAGTCAACTTTAAATGTGAAAGCTCTAAATATGCCAATTAAAAATAGATAAAAAAGGAAAATGTTTTTAAGAAATGGGTTTATATGGCTGGGCACAGTCACTCACGCCTGTAATCACAGCACTTTGGGAGGCTGAGGCGGATGTATAATGAGGTCAGGAGATTGAGACCATCCTGGCCAACGTGGTGAAACCCCATCTCTACTAAAGTACAAACAATTAGCTAGGTGTGGTGGCATGCGCCTGTAGTCCCAGCTGCTCAGGAGGCTGAGGCAGGGGAATCACTTGAACCCAGGAGATGGAGGTTGCAGCGAGCTGACATCAAGCCACTGCATGCCAGTATGGTGACACAGCAAGACTCCATCTCAAAAAAAAAAACAGTTTATGTTCTCAAAAATTTAATTTTAACTACAAAAGACAAAGACAGATTAACAGTAGATGGACACAGTGGCTCATGCCTGTAGTCCCTGCTACTTGGGAGGCTAAGGCAGGAGGATAGCCTGAACCCAGGGGTTTGAGAACAGCCTGGGCAAAATGATGAGATCCCGTCTCTAAGAATAAAAAGTAAGTACATAAATAAATAGAAGAAAAGTGATGATTCTAACTATGTGACAGCCTGTAAAAGGCAAAACTATGGAGACAATAAAAAGATCAGCGGTTTCCACAGGTTGAGGGGAAGGAGAGTAAATAAATGAAGCACAGAGAATTTTTAAGGCATTGAAACTATTATGGCTGGGTGTGGTGGCTCATGCCTGTAATCCCAGCACTTTGGGATGCCAAGGTGGGCAGATCACTTGAGATCAGGAGTTTGAGGCTGGCCTGGCCAACACGGTGAAACCCCATCTCTATGAAAATACAGAAATTAGCCAAGTGTGGTGGCGCACGCCTGTAATCCCAGCTATTCAGGAGGCTGAGGCAGGAGAATCACTTGAACCCGGGAGGCAGAGGTTGCAGTGAGCCAAGATGCAGCTATGCCACTGTACTCCAGCCTGGGCAATAGAGCAAGACTCTGTCTAAAAAATAAAACCAAAAAACAAAAAACAATTCTGTAAGATATAATGGTGAATATATGTTATTATACATTGGTTAAAACCTATAAAATGTACAACATTAAGAGTGAACCCTAATGTAAACTATGGACTTTGGGTGATGATGTGTCCCACTCTGGTGGGGATGCTGACAGCGGGGGATGCTGACAGCGGGGGATGCTCTGTGTTGGGGCATGGAGCATATGGGAACTCCTTGTATTTCCTGTTTAATTTTGCTATGAACAAAAACAGCTCTAACAAAGTCTACGTTTTTTTTGAAAAAAAAGCAAGGAATGGAGAAAGATATGCCATGGTAACACTAATCAAAAAAAGCTGGAGTAGTTACATAAGCAAAGCAGGCATCAGAGCCAGTAAATTTATCAAGGATAAAGGAAATATACAGTGATAAAGATGAAGGAGTCAATTTTTCAAGAAGACAGAATCCTGAAAAAGTTCACAGACATACCTTGTGTTATTGTGCTTTACCTCACTGTGATACTACATTTTTTACAAGTTGAAGGTTTGTGGAAACCCTGCATCAAGCAAGTCTATCAGCGCCATTTCCCCGATGGCATGTGCTCACTTCATGTCTCTGTTACATTCTGATAATTCTCACAATATTTCAAACATTTTCATTCTTATTATATCTGTTTTGGTGATCTGCCATTAGTGATCTTTCATGTTAGTACTGTAATTGTTTTGGGGCACTGCAAACCACACCCATTTAAGATGGTGAACTTAATCAATAAATGGTGTTTATGTTCTGACTGCTCCACCAATTGGTTGTTCCCTTGTCTCCCTTCCTCTCCCCAGGCCTCCCTATTATCTGACATACAACAATATTGAAATTAGGCCAATCAATAATCCCACAATGGTCTCTAAGTAAGTGTTCAAGTGAAGGAAGAGTTGCAAGGCTCTTACTTTAAACCAAAAGCTAGAAATGATTAAGCTTCATGAGGAAGACAGGTTGAAAGCAGAGACAGGCCAAAAGCTACACCTCTTGCACCAGTTAGCCAAGTTGTGAATGTAAAGGAAAAGTCCTTAAAGGAAGTTAAAAGTGCTACTCCAGTGAACACATGTTTGAAAAGAAAGTGAAACAGCCTTATTGCTAGTATAGAGAAAGTTCTAGTGCTCTGGAGAGAACATCAAACCAGCCACAACATTTCTTTAAGCCACAGCCTAATCCAGAGCAAGGCTCTAACTCTTTTCAATTCTACGAAGGCTGAGAGAGGTGAGGAAGCTGCAGAAGAAAATCTCAAGCTAGCAGAGGTTGGCTCATGAGGTTTAAGAAGCTGTGTCTATAACATAAAACTACAAGGTAAAGCAGCAAGTGCCAATGTAAAAGTTGCAGCAATTAGATCATCTAGCTAAGACCACGGAGGAAGGTGGTACCACTAAACAACAGATTGTCAATGTAGGTAAAACAGCCTTCTATCAGAAGAAGATGTCATTTAGGACTTTTCTAGCTAGAAAAGGGAAGTCAAAGTCCGGCTTCAAGTTTCAGCGGACAGACTAATTATCTTAGTGGGGTAAATGCAGCTGGTGATTTTAAGTGGATGTCGATACTCATTAACTATTCCAAAAATCCTAGGGTCCTTAAGAATTATGCTAAATTTTCTCTGCAATATGCAATATGCAATAAGAAAGCCTAGATAACAGCACATCTGTTTAGAGGGTGGTTTACCGGATATTTTAAGCCCACCGTTGATACCTACTGCTCAGAAAAAAAGATTCCTTTCAAAAGATTCCCGCTCACTGGCAATGCACTTGGTCACCCAAGAGCTCTAACAGAGATGAATGTTGTTTTCATGTCGACTAACACAATACACATTCTGCAGCTCATGAACAAGGAGCATTTTCATCTTTCAATTTACATTATTTAAGAGGTACATTTTTGCCTGTAGTCCCAGTTACCTGGAGACTTGAGGCAGGATAATTGCTTAAGTCCATAAGTTTTGAGCTTTAGTGTGCTATGCCAATCGGGTGTCTACACTAAGTTTGGCATCAGTATAGTGACCTTCTGCGAGCAGGAGACCACCAGGTTGCCTAAGGAGAGGTGAACTGCCCAGGCTGGAAACAGAGAATATCAAAACTCTTGGGTTGATTAGTAGTAGTACTGTGCCAGTGAATAATACTGCACTCCAACCTGGGCAACACAGCAAGACCCTATCTCTTAAATAAATTAAATAATAATTTAAAAAATACATTTTGTAAAGCCATAGCTGATTCCTCTGGTGGATCCGGGCAAAGTAAAAACCTACTGGAAAGGATTCACCATTCTAGATGTCATTAAGGACATGTGAGATTCATGGGATGTCAAAATATCAACATTAACAAAAGTTTGGAATAAGCAGATTCCAACCCTCATGGATGACTTTGAGAGGTTCAAGACTTCAGTAGAGAAAGTCATTACAGATGTGGTACAAATAGTAAAAGAACTAGAATTAGAAATAAAGCCTGAAGATGGGACTGAATTGCTGCAATCTCATAAAAAACTTGAACAAATGAGGAGTTGTTAGGGATGGGCAAAGAAAGTAGTTTCTTAAGATGGAATCTCCTGGTGAAGATGCTGCGCACATTGTTGAAATAATAAGAGATTTGTTTATTTTTAAATTCCATATATATTTTTTGAGACAGGTTCTCATTCTGTGGCCCAGGC